ATTTAATACCGGTAGAATGAGTTCTCACAATATATCTGCCTCAATAGAGTTGCATGTGTGTGTCTGGGAGCACATGAGCTATTTTCACAGTGTAAAGATCAAAATTCAAGTGTGTGGGGAAATCCGGTGGGCCATGTGGTCAAGCAGAAGTTATTTTACAAAGGGTTTGCTGTAGAAAAAAAAAAAAGTGTGGAGGAACAAAGCTTATTTAGAAACACAAAATGATGTTAAGTTAATCAAAGTGCCACTTTGCTAGACCTTCAAACACAAATATTTGTTGCAACTGTGTTGAATAAAAGTTTTCAAATGTTGTAGAGACTTTCTTCTACAGCCTGTAGATCTTTCTTCTAGATCATGAAGCACAAAACAGATGAGGTTTTATGTTTCTTTAACACAAATTGTTCTGAAAATACCAAAAAGCAGATAGGGATCCTAAGGACGTGGAGCTTCTGGAGAGGGTCCAGAGAAGGGCAACCAGGATGATTAAGGGAATGGAACATCTCTCGTATGAAGAGAGGCTGAGTGAGCTGGGCCTGTTTTCTCTGGAGAAGAGACGGCTCAGAGGGGATATGATTAATATGTATAAGTTCAGGAAGGGAGAATGCAGGGAGGAAGGGGACARGCTGTTCTCACTGGTGGCCAGCGAYAGGACGAGGGGTAATGGCCACAAGCTGAADCACAAGAAGTTCCGTCTCCAGGTGAGGAGCAACTTCTTTACTGTTAGGGTGACAGAGCAGTGGAACAGGCTGCCCAGGGAGGTGGTGGAGTCTCCTACTCTGGAGGTCTTCAAAACCCGCCTGGATGCCACCCTGTGCCACATGCGGTAGGTGTGCCTGCTTGAGCAGGAAGGTTGGACTAGATGATCTGTAGAGGTCCCTTCCAACCTTAAATATTCTGTGAATCTGTGAATTCTGTGAATCTGTAAATAAGGAATGAAAGAGATGCAGAAAATAAGGACAAAATCTCTTTACATCTTGGTCCTCTTTATTTGAAGAGCAGTAAAGAAGCAAGACAAAACAGCTCAGCCCTGTAACCCAGAAGTATTTTACATGACAAAATCAACGTAAAAACTGAAGCTAGTGATCAGTGTTTGCACACCTGATCAGGTTGTGAGTTGTTGTCCATATACTATATCTATTCTCTCTCCCTATTTTTCTGCTGTTTTTCACTCCTCTACTTTGTCCTTAGTGTTCTCTGCCTTTAATTTAGGCAGATACCTTGTTTTAGCCTACATGTAAATGCAAAGTTAGCTCTATGATGCTATGTACAAATTTACAATAACTAGAATGAGACCGCATAAGTGAAAAAACTTTTAAATGTGAACCTCTAGCGCATGATAGAACTTCAAAATTTCATAAATCTCTGCTGCTGCTGCTGTTCATCCTGCCCCTACCCATGAGAGCTTTGCAAGTGATTCCTCTAAGACAGGTCTAGATTCTTCCACATAGTAGAGCTGTGAACAGTCAGGCTGGGTAGAACAAATATTTATTCACTTGGAGTATTTACTAACTTGGCACTAAACTGTGGAGGGGACTGTCCTGGATGTCTAGCTCCTTTAGACATGGTGAAGTGTCACTGTTTCAAAGGGGAAAAAAAAAGAAAAAAAAAGTTTTGCATATTTCTGATAAAACCTACACCATTCATGCGACCAGAAATGTTTAGCCCAGTGATCACATCCCTCATATGTTGGTTTAAAATGAGTCTAAGTTGCAGATAAAATTTCAAGAAAATCCTGGAGTTTTTGCTCATTGTTAACAGTTCCACATTTTGATAGCACAGGTTGTGGAGTCTCCTTCTCTGGAGAAACGCAGAAGTTGCAGGACTCAACCCTGTGCCAGGCGCTCCAGGTGACCCTGCTTGGGCAGGGACTAGGTGGTCTCCAGAGGTCCTGTCCAATCTCACCCCTTCTGTGTGCGTCTTTAATGCTGTGTAGGAAACAGCCTCGGCAGGCAGGTTGTAGAGTTCCTAGGATTAGCTCTTCTGTGACCATTGTCACCATCATCAGAACAACAAAAACACACAAAAAAGGTTATCTGGCCTCTACACAAAGTGATTTCACATCTGAAGAAAATATACAGTATTCACATTATCTCCTGTAGATCATCTTGCACATGAACAGTAAATGATGAGAAGATTCAGAACAGGAAAGAGCAAAAAGTTTGATTTCCTCTGATATTGTCGGGTACTGAGTCAGCCTGAGATGAAAGCCAGACAACAGACCTGGTGAATCAGCTTGGCCCTCAGGAGAAAACTGCACTCGAACTAAACCAGTGGAGTTCAGGAAAACTAACTAAATCATTTCGACACACCAGAAACCAGTCCTTTAGCACCAACTTAGAAATAAGTTTAGACAAAACACTGAAGAAGCTCACCCCCAAAATCTTGTTCCTCTGTCACTCATTAGAAGCAAGGACTCTCATATGGTGACAAAAATTATACTGCTTTTTTCTTTCACTCCGATAAATCATCAGTGACTCACTCCAAACAATTCTTTATCAGACAGATGAAATCCAAGTACTTAAATCAGAGTATATTCAAACTCTACTATAAAAGTTTTTTATTTAAAATAAGTATATTAACAACTACTCAGAAAACATTAATGTGTTGCAGACTATCTCGGTGAAGAGCTTTAACAGGACAGATTAAAAGTTTTCTTGTGCTACGAGCTAATTGCTGTTGCTTGGCAGAGAGGTGGGTAGCAGTCATGTTGTCTCCCTGCTGTTTTCACTTGAAGGCTACCTGTATTTTTCCACTAGCTGCAGGTCCAAATAATTTAGGAGTGGTCCAGACACCGACGAAAGTGCACTTATCAATTGGAGACTCCACTGAAATTGCATGTACTTGGGAAAAGACAAGTTCAATTGAGAGGTATAGAGTAAGCTGGTATCTTGTCAATGAAGAGAACATCACAAAAACGTTAACCTCGGAACTTATCTACACCTCCAGTGTCTGCCATGAAAACAAGGATGTGCTACTGATAGAAGCGGCTAATGTAAATAGCACTGGATTTTATTACTGTGAGATAATTATTGAAATACCTTTCTGTGAAAAACTATATGGAAATGGAACAATGCTCACTGTTGAAAATAAAGGTAAGTTAGCAATAGGGTGCATGCCATCTAGCTCGTCACCATAATGTATATGTTGGGTTGTTTCCTCCCTCTCCCGTGGCCTTTCCTCAATGCTGTAGATTTCAGGAGGAGTGAGACCCAACCTCTCCTCTTCCCTAGAAGAGATTCTCTAGGCTGGAGGGGAGACAAGGAGGGAGTCTGCTCTGTGGTAAGGAGGGCTGGAGCAACCACATGGCTCCTCTGTTTATGACAGACTCATTTTGCTACCTGGGAGAAAAACGAGGTTCAGAATTCAGAATTCAGCCTTGGAGAGCATTACTATGATGAGTTTTCAAACACAGTTATTTTTAGGCACTGAAGTGACGTATGTTTCACTAATTTTAAAGACAGGATGTGTCATACGTAGAGGAACATTGACCTTGCTTTACACAGCTCTCAAGATCCGTGTCTCACTTCTTGATGATCTCCCTCTCCTTTTCTGTCTCTCTCAGCTATAGAGAAAGACAAGGTGACCAACTCTTTAGCAAATATCCCTTTGATATATCAGCAAGTCAAGTCATGGGAATAACTGCTCTATTCATCCACCAAGTCCAGTGGATGAATAAAAAAGTCCAGCAAAGTCCAGACTTCTTTACACTGTTGACAAGTAGTAGTCCAAAAGGAGACACAAGAGTCAGAAGGAATAGCTAACATATAGACAGCCATGCATAGATAACTTGGGTAGGTGGATGGACTGACTCCTCAAGTTGCTTTTCTTTTTCTGTTATGATGATGTGCTTCTATTGTCTTTTTCAATAACACATTCCTCTACTTGTAAATTACAGTTGCAGAAGCTGACTCACTGGAAAAGAGAGAGATGGCAATTTTGGCCATTATTCCCTTCTTAGTGGCAGTGGGAGGTTTGTATCTTTGCTGCAAGAAGAAACAGGAGTCAAAACTTCCTGGTGAGTGGCAGTATTTGCATTTACACAGGCTCTCAACGTTAAGTATCTGTCTGGGGTGGATGAACAGACGCACTTAGAAGGCATCACCAAGAGGAATTTCAAGATCAATTTTTGTTCCCCTGCTCTCTGCTGGGGGACCTAGAGTTGAGCCATTGGAGAGCAGTGATTGCAAAGTCAATGTGATCACACTTTCAGCCACTTGCTTGAACTATTTGTCTTCCTTTAAGACAGATCACTTCAAAGACTAAAGATCTAGGCCAGACTAAAGTATCAAAGACTTACTCATTCTGCACATTTCTTAATATATCAAACAAGTGAGGAACCAGAATGTAGCTTTGTGTTATCAGCATTACCTGCTAACATGACCCTTGGAGGAACTGGCTTTCAAGACTTGGTTGCTAATTGTAGTTAAGTTGTAAACACTTTTTAACTGATAGTTAATTTTTGTTGTAAAGTCCTGAAATGAAGGGCATAAGTTGTCACCAGAAAAAAAGGTGTGGTGCGAAGGAATGGGAGAATTGTAATGTGGGTCATGTACAGGTGGTGAGCCAGCCCATTGACACAATATTAGGGTTACAGCATGAAACTTATTCAGCTTGGGAGCTGCCAGGGATATGGAAGGGATATGTGAGACCTGAGATATAATTCAGTTTGCAGGTTTAAAAGCAAACCAAAACAAACCCCCCTGGGATTTTCACAAGTGAAGTGCCTAAGCTCCTGTTTTGGTCAATAGTGTTGGTGAGGCATGGACCTTGAGGGCTACAAACGGACCAGTTGTAGTGTCTTCTGCACACTGAGCTGACCAGCTCTCTAGACCACTTGTTGTGGCTGTTGACCAACTCTCCTTTGCTGAAGTAGAGTTTGGGAACATGGAAATAGGTGATGTCATCTGCCAGCTCAACAGCACCCTAGCCCTGTCAGCAGGGCTGTAGCCACACAAGAGCTCCGCGCTCTTCCTCACATGTGCCATTTGCTCTGGTAAAGTACCAGTAGGGCTCTCACACTGGACAATACACAAGCAGTGACCATATCTCGGTTTTGGCTAAGGCTCTGCCCGGCTTCCTATGCCAGAAGAAAGACATCAGGAGGAGCACGTGCTTCAGGCAGCCGAGCTTCATGGAAGATGTGGATTCATCAGTGAAGCAGCTGAAGAAAACCCATCGTGTAATTCTGCCGAATGGGTAAGCAGCTGGGAAGTGACTCTTACTGTGAGAAATAGACCCAAAATGAGGGCCTGGGGAGCACAAGCTGAACAGAAAGCACTCCACAAGCTGTTGTTCCTAGGAGGGCATCCTACTACTTGATTAAAAGCTTTGAAGTAGAAAGAAATATTTTATCACAAGAGGCAACACATTAAATAGGAACGAATTATATTTATATATATTTATGTACTAGGAGACTATTGGATTCTGTCAATAGGGAAGGGACACGATACGATGGAAAGGATGGCAGCAAAAGGGGGGGAAAGTCAGTATAGATAGTGGATGAAAAGGGTAAAGGAGAACACAACAGTGGCAATAATGTGGCTTTCTACATGTTTGTATGCCCGTCATCTTCAGCTGAGTTCACTCAAGGGTCTGCTCCAGCAGGCAGCAGCCAGGGAGAACAGGTAGCAGACTTCACACTCTTGTCTTTCTAATAAGATGAAAAAGTAGAGGGAAAGAAGGCCTAATTTAACTCTAATAAGGGTAGGTCCAACTTCCATTGCTAACAGGCATAAACGATTGCAAATAACATTGGAATAAAAATAGTAAAGCACCAAAATAAATGAGTATTTTGCATCTGCTATGTAACCAAACTGGTAAAAGTTATTTTGACTGAAGTTTTTCTTGTTTTTTTTTCCTTTTTTTTAAGGCTGTTTCTACATTGTATGAATCATTTGATCTTTTTTGCAATGAACCGCAATAGAAGATGACAAATCTGTTGTGACTGCTCTATCCAGCACAGCAGATGAGCAAATCCCATGAATGGGGGCAGCTCAAGAGTCAAGAACAAACGTGAGACAAGGATTTACTGTTGACTTTGACACTGAGAACTAAAGGATCATGTCATAAATAACTGATAAGCATAAAGCTCTGTGAAACTGAAAAACATACCATAATTTGCTGCTGTAATATGGACTACGTGAGTCTGCTGTCAGAAGCATGTTGGTGGGACGATGTAATATGCCAGAACAAATGTTGGTTGCAACAGTCTCTGAATAGTTTTGCCATTGACTTTATCACAAGGAGTCTGTGCATTTGGAGTGTCTGCAGTTTTAGGAGGCTATGGCTTTAACTCTACCCCCAGTATCCAGAGTGCAAAACTAATAAGAAGGGATGTGTTGTCATACTTGGAAAGCCTTCTAGATGGAACAACATTTTTCAGCCAAAGAGTTGCTTCAGGCAATTAATGCCCAATGAATGGCATTGCAATGGCAATTGAATGGCACTCATTCAACCATTAATAGGTGGGTACTACCTAGTCTCCTATGGACATTGAAATACTCCGTCTAAATGAAATTATATATTATAGAATTATATCTAATTATCATGTAATTGTGGGGAGGCTTGGAGCAAGTGGGTGTTAACACTTATTCCACTTTTGCCCATTCGAAAACTAGAGGAAGAAACTGAAGAAATAAAGATCTGATCAGAGATGAAAAGTACTGAGAGCAAAGCTAATTTTCCAGGGAATATTGGCTACTAAGAACAGATACTGGAATGTGTATGTATTTATGTAACCAGGATTGTTTTCTCATCTGACAAAGTTATTTCAGGGCAAGTTGGAGGTTAGAGCATCTCCACGGCTGTGCAGTGAGAAACAGCTTCATTGCTCTTAGGTTTCTGTCGCAACTTGTATTTGGACAGTGTGGTAAACCCAGGCTAGCTTCCCTAAAGCCTTTAAAAATAGCTTGTGTATTTTAAATATGTGACTGGTTTGCTACTTAATAGGTTATAATAAAAGCTTGGTCCATGCATAGTGACTACTGTTCACCAAGCTGCCTCTTTGAGCTACCTCAAAGCTCACTGATTGTGTGCCCAGTTTGCAGGGCTGATCTCTAACCTGTTCTGCAGTGAATCCACTGCTGCGTGTGGCTCTGCAACACTGTGATTATTCCCTGCAGGGCAGAAACACAAATTTCAGTATTACACTTCTTGGTATTTATGTATAACTTAAATAAAGCAAGAGAATTTTTTCTTTTTATTTCCTTTTGAGTTTGAGTCATTTTAAAATTTTGCAGGTAGTCCTGTAACCACAATATCAGGGATGCAATGCTGAGGAACCTCAACCAACATATTGACAAGAGTCATCTGTATGTGACAGTATGATCAATATCTTTGTGCCTGATAAGGTGTTTTCAGAACAGCAGTGACGTCAACTCCGTTAATGAAATTTTTTTTGAGAAATGATTTTATCTAAAGTATGTTTAGGTGTTGTTAAACACAAGAATGGCTACAAAATAGAAACCTGTAAATTTTATTACTTTTTTTTCCCCATATGTAGACTTGTAGCAGTTTCTCTAACAGGAAACATCACATACAGCTGGGGGGGAGAAAAAAAAAAAAGCACAAAAATGAATTTATCAATTTCGCCAAATCTGAAAACAGGAGAAAAGGCAAGTGATAAAATATAAATGTTTCTCTGCATTACACTATTGCTGCGTCTCGGTAAGGGGCAGCTCTGTACAGGTAGAGGAGTGTAGAAAAAGTAAAGGAAATACCAGAGGGGGAGTAACTGGAGCACTGGAGTTTAGCATTAGCACAGTAAAGAAATGAAGGCCTTAAGCACTGAAGTTAAGCACTTCAAAACAAGAACAAGGAACTGGGTGTGTGGTGTCCCTCTGCTCTGAAACCCTTCAGGGTCTGCTGCCTGCTCATGCCCTGACTCTTGCCTTGAGCTATGGGCAGTGTGGCCCGGGAATGCTGGATCTGTGCATAGCCTCCGTGGTTCGTACTTCTAATAGTGCTGCAAAATAACTCATGAAAGGCAGTGGTGCCTGTTGCTCCTCCTGTTTTACCTGAGAAACCATAAGCCCATCTAGCGAGTGCAGCAGGCAGGGGTCAGGCGGGAGGCTGCGGAAGCTTCAGACCCCGCTGGGCCAGAGGGTTTGCTCAGGTAGACAACAGTCGTCTCCCTATTTTGGCAGCTCTGCCACATTAAATACAACTTGCTCTTGTGTGTTGTCTTTCTGAACACACACTAACCTCAACGTTAAAACTCAAAGTGGAAATTAAAGAGGGGACCGTTGTTCAGCAAGAAAGGAAGTGGAAAAATTAACTGCCATTTCAGTCAAGCTCTGCAGGGAAACACAGGCCAATAGCCTCTGAGTAGAGAGAACAGCAAAGAGCTCTGCCTTTAGAGACTGCAGCCCCAGGCTGCTTCACTGCCAACCCTCAGCTAATATAACACGGGAGGACATCCTGAGGGATCCAAGCCTTCCTTGAGGCTCCTGCTAGGGAGCAGCACAGGGAGCAGGGCATGGAGCGGGACACAGGCGACAATGAGCAGCTGGAAACAGGCTGTTCTTGCGGCATGCCCTCCCTCTGACCCAGCGAGGGAGCGTGAGCCTCCTCCAGAGCAAGGGAGCCCGTGAAACTCCTGTGCGGCCTTGGGTAAACCCAGCCTGCTGCATGGGGCCTTCTCCGGCCCTGAAGCGTTTTCGAGCTTGTAACGTGTTAAACAAGACACCAGCTGTGTTTAATAGAAGAAAGCTCATACAAATTGAGAGTATACAAGGCCATCTTCATTTTAATACAGAAATAAAGTGCTTTGCAGTTAGTCAAACTAACTCTAGATTTACTAATTGATCCTGGATAGTAAAGCAATGCACCCTAGGCTTGTCTATAACCCCCAGCAGTTAGTGTACAGGCAGATTTAAACACACTTAAAAGGCAAGATTTTAGCCAAAATGATGCAGCTCCTGTGTAAATTTCCAGGGCCACATTTCTTCAACACATGTGAGCACCCTCTGGTTTCAGATCAGAGCCCCATTCTGTTTGGGATCCCAGCTCTTCACACTTCCAACTCAACGTCTTTCCCAGTTCTCTGCAGGCAGACTTTTTATTCCATTTTTGTTGTTGACAGTCTTGTCTTTTCCCGATAAGCAAAACCTGCTGTTACCCTTCCTGCTACAAAAACGTGCCTTGTTTCCCACTTCCTAGCCATCCTTTCTGTTTCTGAGCTGGACTGAGGGGTTCCTGAGGGGCAGATACTGATGTTTGCCCACAGTGGACGTCCTTATCAGGGTGCTACGCCCTGGGCTTAGTCACTGGGAACTAGAATAACTACTCTGTGGAACCCAGGCTTCTTGGGAACTTCCACTCCATCAAATTGCAAAATAAATCTCCTTACAGTGTATAAGGAAATCACCTCACTTTATGTAGAGCTATGTAAGAGCAATTCAGCTTCCCATTTCTTCACAAATTAATATTTCAAAATGCAACAAAAATTATTTCTGTGATAAAATGCAAAGGTTTCCCCTTGATGTGTTGCCTGAACTTGTGTGCATGCAGACAAGAAGCAATTTTCTCTTCAAGATTCCTTCTCCCTGAGTAAATGATTTTGCACAATAAAGGGAAAGTAATATTGTTTAGACCAGAAGAGCCAAGCAGGGCCAAAAGGTTTCTCCTTGCTTATGAAAGTTTCTTGAAAGTTTTTCTGCTTTCTCCTCACATCATCCTGCCTCTCTTCTGATGTGTGATCATGTCATGAATCTGAATTCATCAACCTGTCTAATCATGTCATGGAGCAACTTTTTACTATGCTGAGCAAACCTCAGCATAGGTCTGAGTAGGGTTTTGGAAGTATTTAAGTGGCATACATTAGGATCAGACTACTTAGATAAGCAAGACTTAACCATAAGACTTAAAAACTATAACTGAAGTACTTGGGTAGGTGATATTCAGTTAGTTCAAAGGGCGACATCTCTTTCTGCCATTGCAACAAAAAACAAGAGCAGTTATGGAAGCCTTAATGTTAAAATGTTAAAGGTTCTGAGAACCGCATCCAGGAAATGATTTGATCATGGATTGAAAACATGATAGAAGTAGAGATATACTGCACATGCCAATAATATTGGCTATAATATATTCATTGATTTTATAATCTCAGACAGCCTGTGCATTAATAAATATGTGTAAGTGAACTCAATATGCCATATATGCCAGGAAAGAAAATTTCCCCTGGTCCAGCTTTGGCAAACACCAATGTTATCATCGCAGGCCTAAAATCAGAAATTCACACTGCCAGTTATTTGGCTGTTCTTTATTTTACCCATCTCTAACTTCATTTGAACAGTATGCAAGCTTATTACTTGGATTCATGAAATACATCTTAAAGATATTTTGAGATGTAAAAGATATCGCAACAGTGAAGGCATACATGTATTTGGGGAACATTCAGAAGAATTTATAAACTGATAAAGTGTAGCACTGAATATCACAATGTGCTTATAAGAACTCTTTGTGTTTATACGTTATCACTGCTACATTTATCTAAATCTTTCCAGAGGTGTTTTGCAACACAATGTAATAGCTGTATCATTTAATCACTAGATGTAAATAAATATACTATAAACTGTGAAAATGAAATGACCTGATGTAATAGCTGTATCATTTAATCACTAGATGTAAATAAATTTACTGTAAACTATGAGAATGAAATGACCTCCACAAACTGTTAACCAGACTTGAAGGATGTTTTCAGAATTAGTACAAAGGAGAAATCTCAAAGGAGAATCCTTTACTAAAGAGAATATTTCATTCAACAAAATATCAGGACATGGGGAAAAGTGTGAGTTTTGTTGTTGGTGGTGGTTTTGGTAGTTTTGTGTGTGTAGAACAGGCAGTGCTTACTTATGCTACAGAAGTTACCCTCACGCTAAAATGAAAGTAATCTGGTTTTAGTAGTGCTGCCAAGGTGCAACTTCAGAAAATGAAGGAATCTGAAATTGTAAATTGTGTTTTGTTCCTTCTGTGCTTCTTCCATTCATAACAGATTTGTGGGAGCTGGCGAAAGTCACTCTCGTGTAAATTCCTTTGCATTTTGGAATGAGCTTTAAATGGCAATAAGCTCTAATAGAAGTCTAACATTCCAGTTATACAAATGTTGATGTGACATAAATGGTTCTATAGAATGAAGGTGATAAATATTTTTTCAGGCCTTTCCAAGGCAGAAGCTGCTGCAAAGAGCATAGGATAAAATTCATTCTCAAAGAGAAAACCGGCAC